TTCTAGTAAAGTCAATAGAGTCTAATAATTTGGATGAACCTCTACCAAATTGTTTGCTCTTTAAAATTCTAATAGCCTTCCTTACTTCAACCTTGCTCTCGGAGAAAGCTGATATCTAAAAGTAGGGAAAAATAAAGACGGTAACAGGAGAAATTCACTGGTTGGGGTGTTTTTTCCCTCACCCCCAAGTCTATTATTAAAGTTTGATTTCATGAATTATGTGCAACAGACTTCTAGTCAACCAAAATCTAATTGTCTATCCTTAAACTGATTCTGTCAGATTTAACTCTTGGGTCTTGTTTATGCTCTCTAAAACAAAATCCATACCTTTGACTCATCCTCTAGAAAGATAATATAGCATGGCGATAGAGTTGGGTCTTCCTCCTTTTCCTCTTTCCCACTCCCTGCATTGATTTCCAGATCAGAGACACCTCCTCTTCACATTCTGTATTCCTCACAGCTTCATTTCTTCCGCTTTCCAAACCCAAGAGTATTATTCCATGACTGTATGGCAAATGAGGCCCCTTACACGTGTCCAGCAGTTCTTGCATGCAGCAGTTTTTCCCAGTACCTTGTAAATTATAAACTAGAAGGAACAACTTCTTCCTAGGTAATGCAGTGTGTACATTTGAGAAGGCAGCCCATTTCTTTACTGAGACATAAACCCACGTTAGCGTATCTGCAGCCAGCACTACACTTTACAGCTATAGATTCAGACTATGAAACATTAAACTTTTAAACACGCTTGCCATGGAATATATGAGATATCATTTAATATTGCTGTTTCCTTGAAATTCTGTCTAATGTAAGAGCATTAGTGAGGGTGGAAAATATGTAGCAGTTTCTTGTGGAGAGATGGATCAGCAGTATGGTGTGGAGGTACATCTGCAGCGCAGCTCATTACACCAGCTCTGGAACACTCAGAGCATGAAAGCAGATGAGTCTTTCAAAATTTCAGTCCCAAACCAAAACCGCTGTGTTACACAAATCAGCTCTGGTTAGAAAACATTAACTTCTCCGTTGCTTCTAACAGCTCCATCAGAAAGGCTTGTTACGTAGATAATAGACTGCTTTTTGCCCCTCACCTCACGAGTTTCTCATTGGAGTGATTGCAGAGTAACTTCCAGATGATTACAGTGGCTACCTGTAGCTTGACTACTGCTGAAGCTCGAGGTTGATAATTTAAAGTTGTCTTGCCTTTGTCAGTGCTGTACTGCTCGCTTTGCAGCAGTGCTTGGGACCGCTCTCCGTACATCTCAGACAGTTCCCAGCTCACACAGTAGGAGCTCACAGCGTGGCAGCACACCATGTGCTGATTCCTGCCGGAGATTTCATTGTCTAGATGGTTTCATTGTCTGAAATCTAAAAAGTTGCTTCCATCAAAAGTTCTTCTTATTCAAGTTTGGGAAAATATCGCTGAATGGATTGAGGTAATACCTACGTTAGGTAGATGGCTTGCTTCTTGAAATGGTGGAAAGATTCTTTCTTTGCCTACAGGACCCTCCTATAGGAAATCTATAGCTATGTTTAGACCAAGCTGGGCTGACTTCAGATGTGTCTGTTTTGCATTAAGAATTACTTCTGTGACGCCAAGGGGAGCATTTGAAGTACTCTTAGGCTGCTCCTATGCTTCAATGTGTGACTCCAGTGCAGGAGCCTGGTCAGCCAACAAGTGACAAACGTGAGTGGTGGTTGCGAGAATATGTTCCCCTTTTCCACCTGCCAAGTTCTGCACATGTACATTGTGTTTGGCCCTGTCTGGAGCCCCAGTGAATAGAAAGAAACCCAATTTTTTGCATTGGTGACGCAGCGTGTTTCACTGGTGGTTGGTCACACACTAGAGCAAATCACAGAAGTTCTGAGTTTTGGTGAGACTTAAGTATGTTCAGATGTTTCAAACAATAAAGAGCAGATGATTCACAATTTCTTCTGATAAACCTATGCAAAGTGAAATGTAAGAATAATTGAGTTCTGCATTTCCAACATGTACCACTCTTATCTGCAAGACAGTTTGTTGGATATCCAAGGTACTGTTTCTCTTTGAGTTAGGTGTAATAGAGATCTTTGTTTCTTGTGATGCTTCAGTATCAAACATCAGTAAATGCTCTCGGTGCAAGCATATGCTCTTGTTGTATTTAGCAAAAGTGGATGCACACAGTGCCTTAACTATTGCCCATCTCAGTTGGATGGTGCTCTAGGAGGAATGTGATGGCGAAGTTCTAAAGCACTTCTTGGCATTCAAGTCTATGGAAATGTTTCTTGAATCATTCCTGACTTTTACTGGGAAATTATAATGAAACTTCTTTTTGGAAAAATAGAAGTTTGTATTTGTGAATGTATCACTGCGGAGAGAAAGAAGAAAGCAGAAGTAAACCTGATTCATCCTTTCTTGTTCTTCAACTAACCAAACCCCACAAAAATGGCAATAAATGAGATATTTTTTTAAAATCCTATCCTTTTATGTTCCCTGAGAATATTCAAATAACATTGTTAAGTTTTTAATGTTTGGGAAATATTATTGCATTATTCTAACCTGATGGGTTTTGGCTTTTATGAAGAAATGTCCAACCAAACTTTATACTGGGAGGTTAGCAAGTTACAAATGTGCTTTTGACGTTAAAAGGAATTGTAGGTACTTTAAATAAAGTTTCCAAAGGACCATGTTCCCCAAGTGTTCACAGTCCTTCGTAGACAGTTAATCTTCTGCATATATTACTGCCTTCAACTTGTACTACTACTGCAAATCATGCTTATGACTCGAACGAAAATTTAATTTATTATGATAAGGTGAATGTATTTTGCCAGCTGTGGTGCTGGTTCAGCACGTGAACTCTGTCACTACCCGGTGATTTCCCATCCGTCCTGTTTATGGCACAGGGCCGTATATTTATTTCTATTTAATACAAAACCCTCAGGATATGCATTTTATGGGGAAGGCCAGGTTTTAACACAGGATAAATAATAAGCAAATCACTTTTTTTTTTTTTTTCTCTTTATTCTGTTTTTCACTTCATTGAGAAGGCAGCAAGATGGAAACGTCCCGTTAGTACAATGCTACGCGTGTTGTGAGTTAATGGTAAAGAAACCAGCTTGCCCCAGCTCCGGTTGCCCAGCCGTGGGGGAGCTGTTGTCATCTCCTGCCCGTGATCTGCTGGGGCTCTGTTTCCTTTTGGTTTTCTGAGAGATGTGATGCGTGTCTTGTGGTTTATAGTCAGGAGGGTTGGATACTCGTGACAGCAATTACTTGGCTTAGATATTAATTTCTGAAGGACACAAGACAGTCTGTCTCTCTAAGATGCTTTCTTATAGTTAGGACCAGCCAGCCAGCACTTGCCTCTCCAGCAGTCCTGGTGATCTTGAATTAAACAATAATTAGCCAGATTAGAATATACACAACACTTTTTTCTTTTTTTTTTCTTTTTTTTTTTTTTTTTTTCCACTTTAGCTGTACTTTGATTTCTACTTTCTGGGATCTAAGCAAATGTCTGCTGGGGCTTAGGTTTTGCTCATAAGTGACCTTGAATAGAGCAAGTTTGTGTTTAAAGAGTGTTTGCCTCAGTTCTGTAGAAGACCGGTGTATCAGCTCCTTACCACTTCGTTATTTAGTAGATAACTTTGCAGTTTGAAAAGGCCTTGTTCCTAGAGATGACAGATGTGTTGCAGTTTATATAAGATACAAACTTGGAGCAGGAGCATTTCCCTTGCATTAAATTTATGCTCGCATCAGTACCTGTATTGTGGGCAGCTATCTTTAGAAACAGTCTTGCTGGATATATCTGTGCCCTCAGTGAAATGTAGAAAGCAGCAGTACTGAGGAGGTATTTCATTATTTAAAAGGTGAATGTTAAGATTCACCGCTGCTGCTTTCTACATTGCACAAACTGCAGACGCAACAAATTTTGTGCTAAATTAAAGAAGTGAGGTAGACGTGGTATTGCTGAGCTTCTCCTGCTGACAATTCTGTAGCAATAAGTTGCATCCCCAAAAAGTCCCTTCCCCTGAATTTTTCTTAAGTTTCAATTCAACTCTTTTTTTCTTCTTTTATTTCCCATGAGAGACCCAAGATCTTGAGAACTGCTTTGTAACATCCCAGCCCTGTTTATAAATAATGAAATTGCCCCAAGTTAAGAATGCCGCAAGACAACTCTTCAAGCATTTCTGTGCCTTAGGATGCTAGCTCTGACAAGAGTTAGGTGGTGGTTTAGTAGATGAACTGTCAACCTTAATCCTCATACTTACAACTTATAAAGCAAGTTTATTTAGTGAAGTACTTCTTGTTTTCTTAAAACCTTTAAAAGCCTACAGTGTTGTCATGCTTACCCTGATTTAAGCCACTGTCCTATTCTACACTTTACTGATCTCATTTTCATATAATGTTTATTTTTGCTTATATTATAGTAGTCGTTCTGCCTCAGTTTGCCCTTCTAACAAGTTCTTTGTTAAAGATGTTAGAGGATTGCTGTGCAAAGTGCATTGCAAAGGAGACCACCTCAGTATCTAAAATGGGGCAAATAAAGGTATTTCTCCATGACAAGTTCAGAAGTGATCTGTGTCTGCCGGTGTGGCTGTTCTGAAGTTTTTTATAACTCCTTTCTCATTTGTAAGCGCCAATGATCTTTGAATTGCAATTTAGGTGTCCATTCAGCAGAATTATTTCTTGAGCAATGACAGCCTGTGAGTAACTGTAGGGTAAAAGTAGAGAGTGGCCAGCTCTACCTCTCTTCTTAGTGCTCTGTTCGTAGGTGCAGGGATCTTCTCTCCACATAGAGGGGCAGCGCTTCCTAGGTATGTGGCTTTGTGCTCCCATGCTTTCGTGGTGAAATGTGTAGCTTCCATCAAACCTCTGCACGAACAACATGTATTCTGACATCTGGGTGTCAGCCTATTTTTCGAAGTGTAGAGTGGAGTAGCTTTAAGCTGGAGTGGTGAAAAGAGGTGAAGCTGCAGCAGAATGCATGTTTGTTGGGTTTTAATTGGATATTTTCTTGTTGCCTTTCTAGGTCTGATGTAGTTGTTCTGTGCTTTTCAATTGCTAATCCTAATTCTCTGAATCATGTGAAAACGATGTGGTATCAAGAAATCAAGCACTTCTGTCCTCGTACACCTGTCATTCTGGTGGGCTGCCAACTAGATCTCCGCTATGCAGATCTTGAGGCTGTTAACAGAGCCAGACGGCCTTTGGCAAGGTAAAGTTTTACCAAAAATAAGATTTTTTTTAAATTGCGTTGGTAGTCAGGTACAGTAATTTCAGAAGAGAAATGATAGACCCTCGTTTCCTTTTTTTTTTTTTTGGTAAAATGAGAATATATGTGCTCTCTTCTTTTTATTTTTGTTGTCTGAGTTGGTTAGTTCTTCAAAACACACACAGTTATTACAGGTTTCCCACAACATTTTTGCACATTGAACATCTAAACTCATTTGGGTGCCTGAACACTACGATAATACAGAGCTAATGGTGATTACTGGAGGTTTTCTTACATGTCTTTCTCCACCTGAACATGTATGTCGTGTCCTACCCTGTCACTACTGTCAGGTACTGTTTAAAACTGACAGATTCTACTCAAGTTTTCTTAATTCTTAATTATTATTCTTTTCTAAATGCAATCCTAAATCATGACATAAAATACGGTGGTTGCAAATTACATTTTTTTAAAAAAGTTCTGAGATTAAAAGAGAGTTTGGGGTCATTCCAGAGAAACTCTGTTTTTCTCAGATTCAAAAAACAAGCACTCACATGGTTGGACAAAACAGTCCCACAATTACCTTCTGACTTCTAATTTCCTCCTTTTATGTGAATCTGAATGAGACCAAATTCATGGAAATAATCCATGATCACATAATTAAAGACTGTATTCAAATAACAAATTTCTGTAAAGGGATTGATTTAATATTTCATGGGCTCTTGGAAGACATTGTGTTTCATTGCATTCAAATTCTTGATTCGGCAATATGTTTTTCATAGGTTGGTTTGTTTATTAAACTTTTCTTCATTGTGTGGGTGGGGTGGGCTTTTTGGTTGACTTTCTGAAAGGAACTATTTTTTTCGAAACTCAAAATTCTTCTGCCCTAATTCTCCTTTCTGAATTCGCCATTAATAAAGTTTTGAGTCAGTACTCTACACGTCTAGCACAGACTTCTGCCACCTGAAGTGATTATTAGCTGGCAACTAAAGCAAGCTGCTGTCTGGAGTCTGTTACGTCTGTGCCAGCTTGTGTCTGCCCAATATGGTGTGCTCGGAGAAGGCATTGCTGGGTCATGTCTTCTGGTTTGTTGTGAAAATGGATCCTAGCCCAGACTTTTTTTCTGGTTTGTTTATCCTATGTCGTGTACTAGAGCTGCTCTGGAAATTCATGAGTTCCCACATAATGCTTCTCCAGCCAAAACAGGCCTATCTCTTGAAGTGTGTGTTCAGTTACACTTTTCTCATAAACTGCTGTGATTTTCTTTAAAAAGCATAAGCTTAAGAAATATTTCTCATTTCATATTTAGCTATATTGGTGGCATTTCTGTGTCATGAGAATTTCCATTTGAGTTTAAATGATGCATACAAAGAAAGACACTGATAGAGTATCTGAGCAGAAAGGGATGTTAGGAGAGATTATTTTTTTTTTTTAAACAATGAATGTTCTCAAGCATCCTATCAACTTCTTTACTGTAAATTTCCCTTTAACAGAGAGAAAGCTTCCTCCATTTTGTGAAAATGTTTTCTACGTATTTTTAGTAACATTGCAATGACATCCCCAAACTTAAACATTACAAGTATGTGCTATTCAAAAACTCTCTGGAGTCATGGTTGTAGGTTTCCAAATGGCTTTGTGGGCTTAATTTTATATTTTGTGTCATTTGAATGATATTTATCTCAGAATTGGTGCTGAGACATTTTGAAAATTTCCATGCTTTCCGGAGTAACTTTGTGATGATCGTTGTGTATGAGAAGGTTTTTTTTTTTGTTGTTTAACCCTAGGCCAATAAAAAGAGGAGACATTTTGCCACCAGAAAAAGGCAGAGAGGTTGCCAAGGAGCTTGGGATACCGTACTATGAAACCAGTGTATTTGACCAGTTTGGGATTAAGGATGTGTTTGACAATGCAATAAGAGCTGCCCTGATCTCCAGAAGACACCTGCAGTTCTGGAAATCTCATTTGAAGAAGGTCCAAAAACCTTTGCTTCAGGCTCCATTCCTACCTCCAAAAGCCCCTCCTCCAGTTATCAGAATTCCCGAGTGTCCCGTACCAAGCATGAACGAAGCTGGATATTTATTGGACAGCCCACTGTGTGCAGATGTTATGTTTGTTCTCCAGGAGCAGGACTACATTTTTGCTCACAAGATTTACCTAGCTACCTCCTCTTCAAAGTTTTATGACCTTTTCTTAATGGAATGTGAGGAAAGTCCAGAGTTGGATGAAACACAGTCTAATAACGAAAATCCCAATAAGGATGTTCTGACAAGTCACCTTGAGACAAATAGTGACAGTGATGAGACACTCTTGAAAGCTGCTGATGTTAAAATTCCCCCACTAGAAAGTACTGACTCTTTAAACACACTAGAACCCGAACCTGGGGAAACAAATTCTGCAGCAACATCTCTGTCATCCTGGGGTAAGGGGTTTGTTAGTGTACATAAGGAAATGCAAGTGAATCCTGTCTCGAATAGGACATGTCCTGTAACTGTGGTAAAAATGGATTCGTCTGTGCAGGCCGGACCTTTTAAAACTGTTTTGCAGTTTTTATACACAGGGCAACTGGATGAAAATGAAAAAGATCTCACAAGACTGGCTCAGATTGCTGAAATCTTGGAAGTATTTGATTTGCGAATGATGGTGGAGAATATTATGAATAAAGAAGCCTTCATGAATCAAGAGATTACTAAAGCATTTCATGTCAGAAAAGCTAATCGGATAAAAGAGTGCCTTTGCAAAGGGACGTTTTCTGGTAAGTAAATACACGCTTTAACAGGAAAAGCACTAATTCTTTTCTCATTCATGTTACTGTTGCTTCAGAGACTTCAAAAACTGACAGCTTACATTGTTCTGAGAGGAGGGATGAGCCCACGTTTATAGTGTTACTCCAGGCCAACTGTTCCAACCTGGGATTCTGCAGTTTAATTTCTCAAAATCTACACGGAAGCTTTTAAATAAGTGATCCACGTTTCCAAAGTGTTGAACATGCAGTACTTCTTTTTTAAGTGAGGCTTTTTATTTAACTGCACAAAACGCTGGAGTTCTCTTTGTGGTGAGGGTGGTGAGAAGTGAAAGAAGTCCTTGATTAACAATGTGCAAGTGAAATATTCTTGAGACACAGTTTCACTTTAAATACAGAGTTGCAGCATGCCTGTTTCTTTGTTCCCATGGCAGATGTGACATTTAAATTGGATGACGGAACCATAAATGCTCACAAGCCACTGCTGATCTGTAGCTGTGAATGGATGTCTGCTATGTTTGGAGGATCATTTATTGAAAGCTCAAACAGTGAGGTATTTGTCCATTTTTGTCCATCTTACTTATAATGTCTGATGGATTTATGGTGATGGAAGCATCATTCTGTATCTATTTGAAAGCTTGCAATAATCCCTGGAATGATTCTTTATTCTTCCCTTGCAGATCTGGGATGCTTTCCTTCTTAAGGCATTAAATTAGGATGCCTAAGAGGATAATGTATTTTCTGCAAGGCATGAGACTTCCTCCAATGCTGGAGCTTGTGTTTAAACCTGAAATCCTTTAAAATATTAAATAAGTGGGGAGAGAAATTAAATATGAATTTGTGAGTTTCTTTAAAATAAGTTTTAAAGTTGTGTGAATATATATACAATCAGAAGCATTACAAAGAATTCTTGGAGAAGGGGCATTGATGAAGGAATTAAAGGGAAAAAAGGATTGAAAAACATGGAGTGTTAAACTAGAAAAGGGAGCTGGCTTCACAGTACTCCAGCAGAAACTAAGTGTATCAGCTTGTCCCCTTGAGTAAAGCGGGTGTGAAGTACAGTATAAAAGATCTCAATGCTTTGAATTAAGGTTTTGCGGCGGAAGCCTTGTGCGTTCAGGTGCCTTCCTGGTTTGTTTTTCAAATTCTGAATACTCTGCTAATAATTTTTTCTTGTGTTTTATCCATACACAGGTTTTGATTTTTGTTTTGATTTTTCTTGTTCCTTTCCATACTTACGGGTCTTGCTCATATGAAGCGTTCAAGTTTTTTGTGTTTAATATGCTGGAAGATTGTGCTCTACTTAGATTTTTCTTGCTTCTTCTAGTACAGCTGTAAACATAATTTCTTTCCCAGAGGCACGCTCAACAAGTGGTTCATTAAAAATACATAGTTAGATGCTCGTAAGCAACATTTGGCAATGAAGAATATGCATTTATTTTCTAACAGCCTATTTTCAATGATTAACTTAACAGTGTTAGCTCATCTTTCCAGTTTAAAACATTTAGCTTCCATTTTGTAGACTTTAAAACATTCAGTAATGCTTTTGGAAGTTTTAAAATATAAGTAGATATGAATTGAGTGGTTTCTTTTTGGTTTACAAAAAAATCAAACCATCCTCTTTTTACTTGCTGCTTTTTTCTGTATTTGGGACACAATATTTTATAAACTCATTCACTGAATTTACTGTTCTCTGCACTAGCAAAAATATATCAACAATGAATGAGTTGCACAACTAGCTCCTCTTATTTGGAGAACTGAGCTACTTCCCAGTGTGGATGGTAGGTATAAGAGGTTCATGCTTCAGCACTAACAGATCTGGGTTTGAATCCCACCCATCCAGGCAGAGCTGAAAGAAAAATTAACAACAAGCTCTGTGACAACAATTAACCCCCATCTAGCAGGAGGTTCCAAGCAGTCAGATTAAGTTGCGTGTACATTTAATTCCTCATCATAATTTTATTACTATTTTTCCACTCTGCAATTTTTTTTTTTTTTTTTTACTGTAAGTTCTTCAGAATGCTACAGTGCATTCTTCAGTGCCAGCATCTCTTCAGTTACGAAGATGTACGTGACAAACTGCTGATTCATGGGGATAGACTAGCTCGAGTATGGGAAGCAGACTGACCTGCCCCAACATTGAGACCTGCAAGAAGCTTTGGAGGGGTGATCACGTATGAAAACTGTAGTTGAGATGCTGCAGCGATAGGTTACAGCGAGGTTTTCTAACTCTCCTTACTCTTCTTTTAGGCTTCCCTGCAGTGAAATGAAGGTTGGGTTGTCCTGTTGAGAAGTTAGATAGCTTTCATCCTAGTCTGTGTAGTTTCATTATATGGTGGTTATGCTAATTACTTGTGTGTGGCAGAAATGGTTTATGTTTTCTTTGCCTCATTTCTTCAGTCCTCAGTCCCTTCCTAACCTAAATTTGGTTATTTATAAACAGACTGAGAGGGATGGGGTTTTCGTTATCCTCTGGTTTCTGTTATTGTCGGAATTCCCAGCATATCCCTTGTCAGGAGCAGATCGATTGCATTCCTCCAGCAGTCTACCAAGGGAGGTTCAGCCTGGGAAGTGCTCAGGGGCTTTTACGTGTCCCCCAGAGCAGGTCCATTTCCAGGCTAGAAAACATTGAACAGATTCACTGGTTGATATGGATCCAATTCCAGCAACTTGGTACCGAGTTGCTTGTATGGAAACTGGCAAAGGATCTGACTCTGGCGACACGCTTAACTGTTGGCAGCTTCTTGAACTTTAATGGGAAATTTCTTTTTTGAAAAATGTTTCCTGTGCCTTTCTAAAATGACTTGAAGAGAAAAAGAGACAGTCCAGCAAAGTGACAGAAGTGACGTATGGCCTCTATGAAAATTCCGTTAATTGTTAAAGAGACTCTTCTCATAAATATCTTTTCCAGGTAGTTCTTCCCAACATAAACAAGACTTCCATGCAAGCAGTTTTAGATTACTTGTATACCAAGCAACTATCCTCCAGTCAGGAACTGGACACACTTGAGTTAATCGCATTGGCAAATAGGTTTTGCCTTCCTCACCTGGTTGCGTTAGCAGGTAAGAATTTGTGGCCTTGTTCAATGCAGTTGATCTGTAACAGCTGAAACATCTTTTAATGGGTTTGGAATGCACAGGATTTTCTTGGGTGGTGTTGGTTGGTTGGTTGTTTTTTCTGAAGAGAATATTGTAATGCAAATAGATATTTTCCCTTTAAAAAATCTATTTGCCTTTCTCTTGTCTTTCTCAGTTTTGTGCAGAACCAGCTCAGAACACTGAAGTATTCTGTGCTTTCAAAACAGAAAGAGTAAACCTTCTCTTTAGCATTCATATAATGTCTGTGGCTTGTAATATCCGTTCTGTTGTTGTTAATTTACCTGAACACAAGATGGATCCCAGGCTTTCCATTACATCATGAATGCAGTGCTCCATTATACACTTCTATTCCAAGAGAGTAACTGAGCCAGTTCAAAACTGATCTAGATGATCATAGTTGTTAGAAATGCTGCCTGGATCCCTTTTCACTGCCCAGATGGGAATTGGGATATTTTGGTATATACATGGGGATTCAACCCTCATTTCAGGAACAAAAACTTTTCTATCACATATTTACAGAAAAATTACAGATAGGATACTACTTAGTTTTCAGATTGAATCCATACACGCACCAGACCTCTGGGGGCAATGGGTTGTTTATTTGTATTTCTCCATGAATGTAACTTGGAACTGTTCCAAAGACATGGCCAAGGCCAAAACTTAAGAGGCAGATGATGCAAAGCTACACATATTTACAGGACAAAATGTAGGCAAAATTTAATCACGTTCCCAATCCTAGCTCTCCTTCAGTTGTGCATCAGGACTGTGTACCTTGTCTTCACTGGTTCTGACAGACTAAATCTTTACTGCCTGATTTTATATGCACTTTTTAACTGTAGTCTTGATTATTCTTTTGAATAGTTGCAGCATAAATATCCATATACTATTAAGAATATTTCATTCCATTTAATTCTTGATGAAACATTTTAGATTCCAAAGGCTACTGCCAACAACTGGACTCAGCAGAATCAAATCAGCTGACATTTCCCAAAAACCACTCAAACCTCTAAGATACTGATGCCTAGGAAAGGGTTAAGAAAATTATTTTAGGGGAGCTGGTCAGCCTTCACTGGATCCTAGGAACAACTAATGTGAGCATCTGAAGAGGGCCTGAAGTGAACTTTTCTGCATCACTGCTGTGGGTACATTCATGAGTAAATCCACGATGCAATGGCAAGTGTACTGCTGCCTACAAACTTGACTATTGCTTTTGTATTACCCAAAAGAGACAGCTGATCAGATTTCTAATTTATGTTGAATATTGCACCCATCCATTCTGCCAGAAAGAGACTGGTGGCTGCTGAGCTTTGTCCTTCTATAAGTCGTTATTAATTGCAAGCTCTGTAAGAGAGAGAGAGATAAGAATTGTGTGTGAAACCAGAAATAACTAGTTTGGGTTGAGTCAGAGGGGCAAATCCTCATACAGACTCTGCTCCACTGGAGCAAGACACTCTGTACTGTGATGCAGAATCTCCAACCACAACTCCAAACGCCAGAATTTGACTTCACCCAAATCTGAAGGTGCTCAGGCTATCTGGATGAATGTGCCACTTGCATAACGCTTAAAGTTTACACCAGGAGGGAGAACATGCCTCCTTGGTTCTGTTACTTGTGGATGATCTGACCTTGAAATGTGACTGTTTCCCACGAGTGACACGTTTTCTCCTCTAACAGAACAGCGTACAGTACAAGAGCTGACAAAAGCCTCCATGAGCGGCATCGCAATAGATGGAGAAGTACTTTCCTATTTGGAATTAGCTCAGGTCAGTGTGCACTGGTTTTTAAAGATATTCTGGTCAACTGCAGGTCTGAGCATTGCATCCGAGTGGCTCAGAGTCTGTAGTTCTAAGAGTGACTGACAATAAAATTTAGTTTTATCTTCTACTGTAAAGACAGTTTTTACATTACTTAAATACAGATGTTTCATTTTTGAACTAATCTGGGGGGAATTTTCTTTCAAGCATATATTTCAGTTTTTCTTGATTGTGGAGCTTACAAGCTCCACGTTCTCATGGTCACTTTTCAGTAATATGAAATGTAATGAAGCTGTTCAGCTTTGTAATACTGACTGATTCTTGGGTTCCTGTCAATTCAGTTCTTGCAGACATATGTAGACCTCTATTGCAAAGGTAAAATTTTTTGTATTCTTAGACTTGGCATTTAGACTGGCTACTCAGAGCCAGCCATCTGATCACAATCTTTCTTGAGTCCCAGAAACTATGAAAATAGAGCGCCCCGGGTCACAGTTAAACTGCACACTTGTTTTCCGAAAGGACTTCTACAGCAGTCTCCAAGATACAAGCCAAAATGTTTTTTTAAATTGAATTATTCTTGATTTCACGCTAATGATGAGTCTGCCTGCGTCTTGGCTTGAAATCTGGAGTTTAAGTAGCACTGAAATACAGTACAACCTGGCCACCGCGCAAGATTTCCTGCAGCTGCTTTCAAGTCCCTCTCTTGCAATACCTATAATGCTGCTGCAAAACTAGAATTGACCCCTTTCCAAGAAAAGGCAGCTCACTTCATTTTCATTTTATGAAGGGTGTGATTTGGGGTTTTTTTTTCTGCTGGTTGAAGACAGAAGTACTGTGTTTAACTACTGTTAAGATATCCTCTCTGCCCAGTACCTACATCAGTACGATGTGTTTATAAGCTGAGAAGATCATAGTAGACAGTCAGAATGCCAAAATAAATACACGTGCTGTACAATCTGACTTGCATTATAGCTGTGCTTCCTTACGACCGAAGGAAGCTTGTACAGCATTTTGAGCTTTCAGTGATGTGTGAATTCTGTCAATGAGCGTTTTTTTTCCAGGGAGTTACTTCAGAGCAGGGTTTGCAGTAACTGATAGTGATACGACTGCTACAGCCATACCAGAAACTGCAGGTCCAGCGTGCCTTGGGTTTGGACCCTGTGTGGGACTCTGTGTGGTTTGCCAGATCCTGTGTGTGCTGAGCAGCTATTCGTGAGCCTTTTGGGCCACTGGTTGTTCCAACAGAATTGTGTGAGAAGCTCTAGGGCATCTAGAGGCCACTTCAGCCTTATGCTTGGGAGAGTAGTGCCAGATACAATCCACTAGGGACCACTCTAGCTTTAGTTGTTAATTGAGGCTGCAAAATGAATGATAACTTCAGGAAATGGAATAAGCTCTTTGGTTTTCTTTCCAGTTTCACAATGCTAACCAGCTGGCAGCTTGGTGCTTGCACTACATCTGCACCAATTACAACAGTGTTTGCTCCAAATTTCGCAAGGAAATCAAAGCTAAATCTTCAGGTACGGGCAACTTTCCTCTACAGTTTTCATGAGGTTTCCCCTTCTTTCTTCCCACCCGGTTGATTAAACATGAAGAGGAGCTCAGATAGCTAAGCAATGAGACCGAACATCCACATTATCTTGAGTAGCATTCATAAATTCTTATCTGTAAAGAAAGGTCATAATCAGTCGCCTGATTCCTAGACAAGCATTATGTTCTATACCTATTTCAGTGATGCTAACAGTCAGCCTCCACAATGAAAAATACACTTTGTAAAGGCCTTGCTTTTGTACACTCTTTGGTGGACTAAGCTCTCCTGCTTTCAAAGTCTTTTCACCCTGTAAGGAAGGCACATGAGGAAGCTGGGGGAATCTGCAATAAGCCAGCTAACGTGGAGACTGGGCAAATGTTTAGTGGCATAGCTTTTTGCAGAGATTTCTGGGATTTGTGTATCTTATTGAATTGCTTGGGGGCTTTTGGGTTGTTCCTTTTTCATCAGATAATCAAGAATATTTTGAGAGGCATCGCTGGCCGCCTGTGTGGTATTTAAAGGAAGAAGATCACTACCAGCGAGTTAAGAAAGAAAGAGAAAAGGAAGATGTTGCACTGAATAAACACCATTCGAAGCGGAAGTGGTGCTTCTGGAATTCCTCTGCTGTAGTTGCCTGAAGAAAGCAAATAAGTGGAAATCCATAGCCAGTGTCAGAAATTAGTCTTATTGTTAGAAATAAGATGTAGTTCAGGTTTTCAGGAAACGTTGTTCCGTGTGTGCATTTATTATTGCTAGGTTCAAAAGCACAAGCATACTGAAAGTGAGCCTGGAACAGCTCCTCAAAGTCATATGTATATTTTTGGCTAGTAAGCAGATAAATGTCTACCATTATTTCTTTTTATACCAAAAAAAAAAAAATAATCCAGCATTCATGTTTCAACCTCCAATTGGGAAATATTTTTATACTGTCTGGTATATTTTGTTCAGATAAAATTCTGGATACCGTTTTATTTTACAGACGACAAAATAACCATGTAGCAGCTTTGTAATTAGATTTTAACTATTTTTACTATGTGAGTACAGTGAGATAGACAATCTTCAGTCATAAGAGATCGCTTTTAGAGTATCTAATAAAAACTCATCTTAGGAGAAAATCTAGTTGCCTAGTATAGGTTGTCTTTTTTTAAACTAAGTACTGTGCACTGGTAATATAATTAGATGGTTATTTCCCCTTTCTAAAGTAAAGGGTTAGAATAAGATCCAATAACTGCAAGATATAGAGTGCTTGATCTTCGCTCAGCTGAATAATAGGCAGCATAATTACCTGTTCAACTGCAGGAAAATGTATTTCTAATATTTGCCGTGTAAGTGCAAATAATTATGAGTATGTGGGCCATGTGAAATCTAGTGATTCTAAAGTATTCAGAGGTTTTATATGTCTAGATCAAAGAGAATATTTCTAAAATCATTTAGAAGGGCTTATTAATTTATATCCTTATACAAGTATGGATCTGAATACAAAAAGCAGTTACACTGCTTGCATTTGAATTACTGCATGGCAGTTACCTTGCTCTGTGAGATTTTAACCATGCAGCCATTCCTCACGCCGAATTCCTTTTTGCTTCAGTGCAAGCAAATGAAAGGGCTGCAAAACCGAGTAGGGAGTTCTCTAGTGCTACAGCATTTTGTAAAAGAAAAAGGGTCTTCACACACAGGATCACTTCAGTTTGATCCAAATCGTTTTAGAGCTTTTCCCAGGTAGAACGCAAAATGTTAAGATTATTTTTAAGTACATCGTGTAGTTCCCCTGAAAGTAGGTAGTCCCAGAAAGCTGGGGACAAAGTGATGGCAGAAAGGCAGGAATTCTGCACAAGTGGTGCAAGTTTTTTAAAAAAAAAAAAAAAAAAAAAGAAGCCTCCAGTGTTTTCAAACATCCTGTGTGTTTATGATGTTTTATCAACCACCACTTTAAAGCTGCAGTGTTACACTAGATTACATAAAGGATCAGAGCAATTTTTTAAATGACCAAAATTAAAATACATAGACTGTAGAACATACACATGCAATCCTATACAGTGTCTCAGGCACAATCCTGTAACCAAGATAATATTGTGTATTAGGTTCGTTCATGTTGTTTCGTGCTGGCAGCTCAGCATACCAATGTGAAAAGCTGTTTCTTTGTTTTTGTTTTTTTTTTTCTGTATTCAAAGGCAAGGCAGTACAGTCAAACCCCAGTACTGTAGGTCAGGAAAGGCTTTGGACTGAAAGCCATGTACACCTCTACATATTTGCATTCTGAATGGACTAATTCTCGGCAGATGCTACCACAGGATGCTAGAAGCCACCCAGCGTGGAAAGAGATGCTGCTCTACAAACATTTATACGGAAGGCAAGTGTCAGATTCCTGCCCCTGTAAGATTCATCACCGTATGGTGACAAAGAAGGGCTATAAATGATGGTTGCAAATACGTCTCCTTAATTCTTGGTCAGTGGTAATATATATTGTGGAGGAGAAGAATGAATGAGAGAAGATGTGTCAAGACTTAAGATGAGAGAAATACCTGTTGTCATACGATGTTAACCAGCCACACTTTAAATAAGTATTGCTACTAGGTTTTACACAACCAAAGCTGCTGTATGATTGTAATCTTGCCAAACTATAATGGATATATAAATGAACCTGAGGTATATGCAATAATATCCAGTTGTGCTAGCTATCAGCTACTATAACCAAGTGGCTGGTTCATTTGGTTAATGCTGTCTATGGCCTTTAATCTTGGTGGTTATTTTGTGTTTTTTATTTTGAAAGAAAAAAATAAAACTGTTTAGTTACAAGTTGTGTCCCAGCCCTTTGAAGAATCTTCCCAAATTTTGCAGGAGGTGTCACCCTTTTTAGTGCTGCTTGTAAGCATCCAGCTGTGGTATCATGCTTTGAATTTGACTTGAACCGCTGCTTCCACGGCGTGCTAGGATTTGTGGTTGGGAACGTCACAAGGAAACCCTACAGCGTTTGTATATGATGGTGGAAAGTTGGTGCTTGTCACTTACTGTTAAATCGCATAGCAAAAAAAAAAAAAAAAAAAAAATCTCTTGCCACATTTCCCCATGGTTTCTGATATTTAATGATCATGATATTACCCAAGGGACATGAAACTAATTAGTCATGACAGACATGGGGAGGACAAATGCCGGTAAACAGCGGGAAGTCTGTAAGGTTTTCAGTATGCTCTAAACTTTGTACAGACAGCGTTTTCCCTGCGTTCTCACTGCCTTAGCTGTCAACCATCATACAGAATCTCTCATTACCTATTAGTGGACTCTCAGCACCCATCTCCCTGAATAGAGACTGTTTCATTGATAGAAGTAGAAAGTCAGTGCTTTTCTAGAGGATTTTTGCAAGATGTCAGGCAAAGAATGCCACGTTTGGGACTTTTTTTTTTTTTTTTTTTTTTAAAGCTCTTAAGCAATGCCAAGGACATTGAAAGTAAGCACATTCAGCACACAGCGTGCAGTTAACATGCTGATTTATGGGAATGCTGCATATCTCTGATTTATTTTTGGAAGCAAAATTTTATTTCTTTGATCTTACCATGAGAAAAGACAATGGACTCAACGGAAAAAGTGGCGACATTAGATGTAAAAACATTTCTCTTGATTGATTATGATAAAACCAGTATCGTGGAAGGAAGGAGCAAATCAGAAGCATTGCTCTTTGGGGCATTCTCTTTTAAGTATTTATGACCATTTAGGAGTTGAATGTCCTTTGTTTCTGGGGAGTCTCATTCAGCTTATTTCTTGGAAACAGTGTTTTTCTATTTGTTATTTAAGAAAGAATTTCTTCAAGCAAGGACCTCTGCATCACAACACAAACCAGTCTCTGTGGCTCCCCACCCACAAATAGCACACCAAAGCCAGAAATAGAAGCGTTTGGTGAATAAGATGGGATTGGCCAGACTTCAGTCACAACTCCCTAATTTCATTCTCTGAAGACCTACTCATTGCTGTCTTTTAGTCAGATCAGGCCTCAGATTGTGCAAAGGTAAGTAGTGGGTACGTTAAGAAGGGTTGCCTCGTAGAAGAGAGTAATCTGGACATTCTTTCCGCGCACTGAAAGCAGGATTGTACCAGAGCAAAAGCAGCACAGTGGTTTATTGCCCTAATTCTTCAGCATCTCACCCACAGGTATCTCTCAACAATAACTTACGTCTAGAAGTGTTTGATTTGTAAAATCAGGCTTTTTTTTTTTTTTTTCCATGTTCCAGTAACAAGCACTGGGAGATCCAGTGAAGGCATTTTGGAAATCCTGCTGAGGGCCAAGTCTTCCATCTTCTGTACGAAGGGGTTAAGAGCTAATGTACTAAATAGGATTAATTTTGGTACCTAAACTCCATAATGGTGAAATATTTCAGTTCTTTCAGACTTTTTAAGTTTACAGTCTGGTGAAGAGATTTGCTTTGTCAGATGAAACTGCAGTTTTGTCCCTATTCTGTCCCTTTTTTTCTAGGTCAGAGTCTTTTTACTCATCACTGGATAGGCCAGCGGTTATTTACTCAGGGTTAGAATCCTAGATATCTGCTATGTAGTGAGTTGTCTTTAAGGTGGCTGCTTGCCACATCTGAATCTGCTTAGAGTTTTGGTCTGTTAAAATGATCTAACAGCATTTGCATGGGTCTACTTCTGCAGGCTAAATTCCTGTTGAAATGGATGAGATACCACACACACACACACACTTTGAGGTGCCACCTAATGAATTTACACGTTATCACTTGCCTGTGTTCCAAATCTGCTCACAGAAGTTGACTCTCTGTACTGCATGCAGGATAAGACGGTGTGTTAGCAGCAATAATCCCCGTTCTTCAGGCTCTACAACAGGATAATTCATTGTCAGTTAACTTATGCCTTTAGCTAAGAGAATATAACCCATGTTATGGATTCACTTTTCACTAGCAGCCAGTGTATTGAGACTATTGTATATTTATACATGCAAATTCAGTCCCTCACTGCTGCTTACATAAAAATCTTGATTTCTGATAGAAATATGAAAAGCTTTTGGATCAAGGCTGCAGGAGGCTAAAAAGAAAATTTGAACATCAGAAGATGCAAGAATGATTATGCTAATGTATCCCAGCTCCAGAGGAAAATCAAACCAAGAAGATAAAGATGTGATTCAGAGAGAGCGGTTGGCATCAGACAACAGAATTGTGATGGCTCCTTTATAATTATTCAGCCTTACTATTTCATTTCTAAGCAGGCCATATAGCTACAACATCCCGCTGGGCTGTTCTGCAGCAACAAACGTTCCCAGAGGCAAGTCCTGCATCCTACCCCCCCTCAACACGGAGCAGCACAGATTACAGTGAAAACATTATGTTGTATTACTGATTCATAGCAAGTTCTTTCCCATACAGCACTGGTACCCCACAAAATCTGTCCTTTGGTCTGCAGAGGAACCCAGTACCTCCTGCTGGACGTGATATATCTCTTTTTTTTTTTTTTTTTTTCTCTCATGTTAAAGGATATTCCAGAACAGTAAGGATCTTACCCTAAAATACGAAGGATCTCCAGCCAGTCTACTTCACTGAGACAGCATGTAGTGGAAGAAAAAAGCTCTGTGGCAGCCAGGTATCGGCCTGTTTAGGGATTTCAAGATAAATAATATAAAAATTTTCAAAAAATACTCAGAAAGTCGGAGACTGAGTTATAGAACACACAGAGACCGGTTGAATGACAGCCTAGACAGCAGTATTTCAGGTACCATTTAAAAATGCTGAATTGGGGAGGGGTAGGTTCCCTGTAAATAGCACCTGTGGTTTTCAGCTTAAAAGAAAAGCAGCCTTCACCATTAGATAAAATTAGCAAAGTGGGTGCCACCCCTCTATATTGCATAGGTCTGAGCAGCCACACTGGAGAACTGTCTTCCCCCCACCTCATTCTGGCTGCTCTGTAGTTTCAGATGAGCAGACAGGTGATGGAATTTCACGGGGAAGATTTTCTTAAGATATTTTCTTGTATTTAACATTTTTTTAAAAAGGATTTTTTATTCCCCATGGAGATTAATATTTTTTAAAGTTACGGCTGTATAATAAGGATTACATGGCATTCCAGGTATTAGTGTGGAGGATTCAAATTATCCTCCCAGGTTAAAAAAAAAACAACTAAAATTAGCAGCAGTTTAAGAGTATATGATTAAAATTGCATCTTAGTCATTAACTATAAGATGGTTTTTCTGAGTGGATGATCAGATGTGATTGTCCCCACCTCCTAGCTATTATAAATATTAGTTTTGGGCGCTACATATTACAAAGAAATTTATTTACATTTCTCTCCTGGGCCTTCAGCTTGCTTGCAAAGTTTAGTGGATCCCTGTGCTGATGATATCACAGCTACATTTTCAGCTGTAGTGTCTGGGGTTAATTTTTAAATAATTAACAGATCTCTTCGTGCGATGAAACTTTGTTAGATGACGATGCCTTTTCCCACAAGCAGTCTAAAGAAAGGAGTCGCTAAGGAGGCCCCAGGGACTCTCTGAGGTCAGAGCAGCTCTGTGAATCCCGCCCGTTCCTGCACAGAACCCACCGGAGGAGCTGCGCTGGCTTGCATGGGCTGCGATCGAGTGTCACTAGTCCTGCGGTCTGTAAGACATCCAACAGCACTCTGTAAAACAACCTCCGTCAAGTGTAAGCACTCACACGCCTACCGCTTGTCTTCAGGGATTAAGATTTGCCTCTGGGGCTGTCCAAGGGGTACCCAGAGCCCTGCCCGCCTCCCTCAGGCTGCTCTGCTGAGGCAGGTGCTCCCCAGCTGCGTTCCCCCTTCGCTTTGGCTGGCCAAGGGCAGTGAGGTTGGAGTACACTGAAGTCCTGCAGGACAGAGAGCATCTTGCTG